TGTAGTTCTAGGCTGATCCCTCACCTTTCTCAGGATCATTGATACTCCACGAGGCGAGATCTTGCATGGAGCCCCAGTCTGAGAGAGACTGACAGTCATCTTGAATTTCTTTCATTTTCAAATAATTGCACTAACAGTTGTTGCCTTCTCACCAAGCTGTTTGTCTATTGCCTTGTGCAGGTCTACAATTTTGTCCCTAGTGTCCTTAGAAAGCTCTTGGGCTTTGCACGTAGTGGAGAAGTTGGAGTCTGATAGATTGAGTGTGTGGACAGGTGTCTTTTATACAGGTAACGAGTTCAAACAGGTGCAATTAATACAGGCAATGAGTGGAGGATAGGAGGGCTTCTTAAAGACAAACTAACAGGTCAGTGAGAGCCAGAATTCTAGCTGGTTGGTAGGTGATCAAATACTTATTTCATGTAATAAAATGGAAATAAATGATTTAAAAATCTAACAATGTGTTTTTCTGGAATTTTTTTGTAGATTCTGTCTCTCACCGTTGAGGTGTACCTACAATGAAAATTACAGAACTGTCCGTTCTTTGTAAGTGGGGAAACTTGGAAAATCGGCAGTGTATCAAATACTTATTTGCCCCACTGTATATAACAATGCAGTGGCTCATGTAATGTAACACTTAGGCTTGAGGCCTCTGTCACCATACATTTTACTCTATATAACACTCATAAATGAACACAGAGTTACGCTACTACTATTATGAATGAATAAAGAACGAGCGACTGGTGTGGGCACATATAAAGATCCAGGTCAGTCGGTGGCCAGATACCATGTAGAACCGTGTCTGAGGCTGTGGCTACTAGATGGTGGCGTGGCTGGAGTGGCTACTGCATTTTCATTCACGCGGTAGGCATTTGACAGAAAAATGTACATACACGTGTGATTTCGGAAGCACCTAAAACCTCAAGTTTCCCAGCCTGCTTCCTGTTGAATGAGCATTACCTGGTCATCAAGGCTCTGCAGGAGGATGCTATTGACCTCCTGCTGCTGTTTTGGCTCCAGTTTCTTGATGAAGAAGAGGATCTCCCACCACTCAGCTCTGCTAAGAGAAATTGGCTCCATCTGCAGACCCTCCGACAGGTACGGCAGAGAGTACAGACCCCCAGGAGGCTTCAGGAAGAATGTCTGACTCACTGAGGGACAAAAAGAAGAGAAGTCAGGGACACAGCCAGGTTGACACTCAGGAGTTCAGTCAGGAGTCAGGTCTCACCAGCAGAGAGTTTGAGTGCCTCTGTCAGGGACGACGCTTTCTCCTGCGTCTCTTTCTCAGACTGACTGCTGCTGCTGCTGCCCAGGATCTCCACCATGTGCCAGTGGACCCAGTATGTCCTGGACAGGGAGTTCCAGTACACCTGAACAAAACACACACACACACACACACACACACACACACACACACACACACAGGGTCTGAATGGAGTTAATCTATCTATACAACCAGGACTTAACTAAAATTAGTGATTTTCTGATATTTCTGTGAAAATGCAATCAGCTGGTGACCAGCATAACTAAGTCAATTCGTCTTTGACTAGCAGACTGGAGCATCTTTCCAGCACAGGATCTTTGTGTAAAACATCGTCTCAGTGGAGACAATGCTGTAATTTCTGAAATCTAATTTATTTCAAATGAAAGAGAATAAAATGACTCCCGGTGACAGCAACAGCTGATTTCACTATTTGTCCGAACAGCAGTGTAGCCCAGATGAGACTGACTGTGCCGGGCTCTTCACGAGCACAGACAGAATCACCAGACTGTGTGACTGACTGGGTGTATTATTAACTGACTGACAAAACAGTGGTTTTACTATTTAATTCTGAAATCTGTGCTGTCTCCATCTTTGGAACAATTTACACTTTACTCCTCCAACCAGCAGGTGGAGCTGCAGCTGTGAGTATTCATTGAGTACAGGTGGATGTCAGAAAATAATCAAAACCTGCAGGTTTCCGCCATCAGAAACATGACAGAAACCTGTAAAGCTCCAGTCTGCTGGTCCTCCTGTCAGCCTGAATGTTACATCTGCCGCCATGTTTGTATACCGTCGTGTAAAAAGAAACAAGAGACAGTTCTTTGGTTTCCTCACCTGAACAGGTGGCGAGCCATCGTTGCTGTAGCGAAACTCTCCTTCGTCCCCGGCACTCACCTCCTCATAGTCCTCCAGCATGCGGACCATCATGCCACTCTTCAGGTTGTCCTGAACATACTCGACGTAGGCCGAGCGGCTGGCAAAGTCAGAGCGTGTTTTGAATCCATTTCCTGTCTTCTTCTTAGGCGGTGTGGTGGTGGGCGCTGCAACAGCTGAAGTGGCAGTGAGAGTGACAGGGGAGGCACAGAATCGAGGCTGGAAGATGGATCTGAGGACGGGACGGGGTGCCTCTTCCCCCTGCTCCTCAGAGGCCCCCCCTCCTCTGGGGCGGTGGGCAAAGCCATTGGGGGGCTGGTGGTTCCGGTCCCAGCCCATCACTCGCACCAGCTCAGAGATCAGGTTGGCCATGGCCATGGTGAAGTCAAACTCCCGCTGGACCCGGAGGTGCTCTGTCTGGTGGGTGGAGCTGGAGGAGGTGGCTGGAGAGGGGCTGGAGT